GCTGATGTTTCCGGAAGATCCAAGGCATCCGGCGGTGCCGATCGCGGTGGCGCACTTGCAGCAGACAGCTTCGGCTTTTTGTTCCACGGTCGCTTCCTCTTCCTTCCGAACGCTTGCCGCGTGCTCGATTTCAACCGAGCGTCGTCCGGCATCTCGAGAACTCGAAGCGAAACAAAACAAAACACGCGCGACTTCGTAGGAAAACGAACCAGCAATGTTCAATGCAAGCGCGCAAATGGGAACTAAAACGTGCGCTCGACCACGGAGGAAACAAAGCAGACAGGCCTAAAGAGACGGGCGGAGACGGGCCCAGGAGCAGACGACGCACCTCTCGCCAGCGCGGGAATGGAAAGGAGGAAAGGAGAAAAAGAGCGGAGGGGCGCGTTTAGGCCAATAGCAGGGGCGCTAGGCGCCGCGCGTGCTCTGACGTACGGGCACCTTGCTAGCCGGCCAATGAGCGATCGCAATTTTGGCCTTCGAAACCCGCGGAATGCGGACGTTCCCCGAAGTTGTCGCGATAACGAACGGCATGGGGACGTGGGGAAAATAAGCGGCTTTCCAACAAGACCAAGATGGCCGCGATCCGACGAGCGATCGCGAAACGCGCGGGGCGCGAAGTTCCACTTGTTTTCATTGAACTCGCTGTGTCAGGGCTCTGCGGGGACATCGTAAATATCATTTTTTTCATGCTTAGACATTGAATTCGACATTGAAACTTTGCAGGCAGGTACCTTAGACTACAATTAATCCAAATAGGTGAATTTTGAAAAACGTGAAATTTCGCGTTTTTTGACCATTTTAAGACCCGCGTCTCCCCTTAATCGTCGTCTTATACATTTTTTAGAGGCAGAGGGTGTTTTTGATAGAAATCAGTGTGGCTTCCGAGCAGGCCGCTCCACAGTAGACCACCTTGTCCGCCTGGAAACCTCTATTCGGGAAGCATTTGTCCATCGCCAGCACTGTGTCTTTGTCTTTTTTGACCTACAAAAGGCTTACGACACGACTTGGAGATATGAGATCCTTCGAGACTTGTACTCATATGGTGTCCGAGGTCGCATGCTTCGCTGCATTCAAAGCTTCTTGACGGGTTGGACCTTCCAAGTGCGTTTGGGCTCTATCCTGTCGGATGTCTTTCTCCAGGAGAATGGCGTCCCTCAGGGTGGAGTACTAAGTGTTACACTCTTTGCTGTGAAGATTAATAGCCTGGGAAAGGTTATACCACCATCTGTATCCTATTCAATGTATGTGGACGATGTGCAGATTTTGTTTTCCTCTTGTAACTTATCCAGCTGTGAACGGCAACTGCAGCTCACAATCAATAAGATGAGCAAGTGGGCTGATCAAAATGGCTTTAGGTTCTCCCCCGAAAAGACAATCTGTGTTCCCTTTTCACTCCGCCGTGGCCTGTTTCCAGATCCAGTGTTGCACTTGAATGATGTCGCTGTATCTGTAAAGGAGGCCCACAAGTTTTTAGGAATAATATTTGATAAAAAGCTTACTTTTATACCCCACTTGAAAGAGTTGAAACATAAATGCCTACGTTCTTTAAACATTCTCAAAGTGTTGTCGCATACAACCTGGGGGTCTGACAGACGGTGCCTCTTGCGACTTTACAACTCTTTGGTACGGTACCGCTTGGACTATGGTGCGATTGTTTATGGGTCGGCGCGTCCATCTGCCCTAAAGATGTTGGGCCCCGTCCATCACCTGGGGCTCAGACTTGCCACGGGGGCATTTCGAACATCATTTGTGCCTAGCTTGTATGCTGATACACATCAAATGTCTCTGGAAAGACGAAGGCAATATTTGAGTCTTTGTTATGCTTACAAGATATACAGTTTTCCTCAACATCCTTCTTTTGATGCCCTCCAATCTGCTACATCCCTCCGACTCTTTGAAAACAAGCCAAGTATTGTTCGGCCTCTGAGTTTCAGAGTTCAAAGCATGGCAACATCACTCCAGCTTCCCGTTAGTGAGGCTGCTTTGCTGAAGAGCAATGAAAGAATTGCACCTTGGGACCTTCTGCCAATCTCTTGTGACTGGTCACTGTCCAAGTACAGAAAGAGAGCTATTTCTTCACTCGTTCTTCAGCAGGAGTTTGCTGAACTGGAACAGAAATACAAGGACTACTCACACTTTTACACTGATGGATCAAAAACACCAACTTTCGTGGGGTGTGCGGTTTACTCCATTGCCTTCGAAAAAGTTAGACAACTCCATACTCTTGCAAATATTTTTACTGCTGAATTGTATGCCATTTCAATGGCTGTTGAGTACTTACTGGAGAACAATATCATGAAAGCAATTCTCTTTGTCGACTCCCAGAGCGTTTTTCTAGCCATTTCGTCCTTAGCAGACAGTAAGAACCTTCTCGTGCAATATCTTTGGGTGCGGTTAAACCGAGCGCTTCAACTAGGACACTTGATCAAATTCTGTTGGCTTCCTAGCCACGTAGTTTTTTCCGGCAATGAGAAAGCAGACTTGCTTGCTGGCTCTGCAAAAGAGTCCCCAAAACTGCCTCTTGGCTTGCTACACCAAGACCTGATATCAATCATCCAGAAATCAATTATGAAGTCATGGCAGTTGGATTGGGATTTGGAAAAAGAGAACAAGCTTCATGTTATCAAGCCCCAACTGGGGGTGTGGGAGAGTTCCTCCCATAAAGACCGTCAGGTTGAAGTTCTCCTTTGCCGCTTACGAATCGGTCATACCCGTTTGACTCATTTGCACCTGCTCTGTGGTGAGGACGTTAAACTTTGCGACAACTGTGGGAAAGCTATGACTGTTTTGCACATCCTGTGGCATTGCAAATCTTTAAGCCAAGAGCGGCGATCATGTTTTCCAGAACTTTTTCGAGGTCACCTTCCCTTTCACCCATATTTTCTGCTTGGCGATCAACCATTGGTACCATTCAATCGAGTTTTAAATTTCCTTCATAAAACTGGCTTTTTACACCAGCTGTAGCTTCCAGTTCGTATAGATTATACTTTTAAGCCTCTTGGAAAAACCTTTGTTTGGCGCAATATGGCCTGAGTTGCTCTTGTGCCAAAAAACCCCAATCATCATCATCAAGTGAACATACATTTCAAGTTCGATTAGGCTCAACTTTATCCAGTGTCTTCTTACAAAAAAATGGTGTCCCCCAAGGTGGAGTCTTAAGTGCCACCTTATTTGCTGTTAAGGCCCGCTTCAGACAGAGCAACTTTTCCAGCAATTTCGGGGTTGCTGGCGGGTTGTTCCCTAGCTTTCCCTAGATCGACACGAATTGCTGAGATTGGGTCCGGCTTGAAACAAGCGAGCAACTCCGAGCAATTCGGAGACGTTGGAAACGCCAACAGCCAATCAGGGGCACAAAAGTTTCACGTGACCCCTCCCGTGGTGGTGATGATAATGATAACTAAAAACTGGATTTGACTTTAATATATAGTATTCGCAATGCTTCATAAAGATACACAGGGCAAAATTTATGTGTGTAAGCCTTTATTTAAAAAAATGAAATGACATTACAAAATAACGTTATGTAAACCTCATGATGATGATGATAACTAGAAGAGGCGGGAATTTGGGTTCGGGCAGTTCGGGTTTGGTCTGCTCTGCCTGCGCTTCCATCGCTTGTACTTTAGGTACTCAAACTCCCGAAATTGACATCCCCCGGCGCTTTGACTTCATTATTTCGCTATTTAACATTATTAGGTCCTTAACATTATTTCATTAGGTGCTTAACATTATTTCGCAATGTTAAGCACCTATTTTTATTATGCTGTTCTATTTCTTGCAGCGCGTTAATAAAGCATCGCACTTTTTTTAGCGATCGTGCATTCTGCGCGCACTGAGAGCTCGAGCGTGTGCCCCTGCATATAGAAACTTTGTTTTCCCGGCACAGGAGGCAATGTCGTGCTATTAAAGTTTGACAGAGTCGAGAAGACGTTTGAAGCTGACTCTTAGGCGGGCTTTATAAAGATTTATCGTTTTTTTTTTTAATTTCCTCATTTAGGGAATTGGATGCACATTGCGTTGAGAACCCAATGGAAATTTCTCGAGCGCTCGCCCTGCGTAAAAAAATAAATCGTATAAGTAAGTCAACAAACGGAGTGCAGTGAAACTTTTCGAAACGTGTCTCTAGGTAAATCACCTATCATTCTCATTTCTTTAATGCAAATGAAAAAAAAAAATAATATTTCTCCACTGCGCGAGCGGAAAGCAGAAACAACCTCTCTGGTGGATGCTGCTACACATATATTGCACCGGAGTATACAAAAACCTGAAAACTTCTTCGAGATTAATGGGCGACGAGCGTGTTTCTGTGGATCACTGCGAGTAGCAGTGTCCAATGGCGTAGCCAGGAGTATTTTTACTAGGGGGAGGCAGCAGGGCTGAGTTGGCCGAAGCCTTTGTAATTTAAGGAGGGAAAATTTATGCCCCATATGCCCCCACCCCCCTTCCTTTGGCTACTAGAGTGCCTTCATGTGAGCTTCGCATAGGGTGATGCCAACTGCCTGTTTCCTTTTCCCACACCCTCTTCTACCGCCATTTTGTTTCTCTCATTGTTTCCCCGTGCGCCGGAAAGTGGCCTTTGTGTCCATCGGTAATCCCATCCGAGGGGGAAAATGCTAATCCTCCCTCCGTGGGTTCCACAACGCTGCTCCGAACTTCTGATATAAGGTGCTTGTTTCCAGGAGGGTTATAAGCCCCACGGATAATCGCCGAGGAACAAAATGGCTGCTGGTTTGTCGGCGAGTGGTATTACAAAGGGTGGCATCACCCTAGCAAAGCGCACATGAAGGCTCCCTATTGGCTACGCCCCTGGCATTGTCCACCTTACGTTGTTTTATGCGTATGGCAAAACAGAACTGTTTTCCCCCCCACATGCATAAAAAGAAAAGGGTTCTAATATTTTTTTCACCAAAATCGACAGTTACGGAATTTGAGTATGATAAGTGCAACACCCAAGGACACCTTTGTGAAAAGTTCCGTGGCGTTCTGTCCATTGTCCCATTTATATGGTTTCTTTTTACGCCCGGCCAGTGCTCGACAATCCCCTACATTAATATATGTTCAAACTCTTGAGCATGCTTTATATATAGTTGTTTTCTCTTAAGAGTACAATTATCTCTATGGCATGTATAAATGACTGCTTCCATTTTTATACCTTTTTATGTAATTTTTTAGTACCTATCCAATATAATTAGCAGTTCGTGTCACCAGATGTCATACTTATCTTTACCTTTTCTAATTTATCTTGCAGGATGGTTATGTGTGGACCATGGAGAATCAGAGGCTGCTAATTGATTTCTTTCAGCATCATGAAAATTTGCACAATGTAAAACACAGATACAAAAATAGAACCATGCGGGACATCATGCTGCAAGAAATTGCTGACATGTTTGGTTGCACACGTAAGTTGTTAGTTCTGAATGAATGCCAATACTTGACCCATAAAAGGTGATGGTAAAATACATTTCTCCTGGACTGTAACATAAATACCTACAAATTAATTTTAAAAAGTTACAAAAATAGTGCAGAACAAGTTATGATACATGAAATATCAAAAAACTTGTATCGTAACCAGTGCCCTTATAAAATGGTTGCCCAAGACAAGTTCTGAACTTAACTTCTCTGCTCCATATTGCAAAGCACTTGTTTTTTATATTTCTAACAAGTGCTGTGGTTTGTTTTCACATCTGATTTACATGAGCCAAACGATTGTTTTAAAAATAGATAACATTAGGTAGCATTATGACCCATCCAAACACATAGTGCTATCTGCTGCAGTTTATAATTTTCTGAGGGAACAAGCTCAAGTTCTTTTGGTTCAAGTTTTTAATTGTTTTACATCAGTCCTTCTAAATAAACGCAACTTTGTAAACACCTCTTACCAAGAAAAATATTTGTTTTAGTGAGCTATTTTGTTCAACCTTTCTTTGGGGAACCAATAACCTGTCTAAATGTATGATACACTATTTTACCAGCATCAGAAGCACACACCAAATTCAGGAACCTGAGGACATACTTTTTTAAAGAAATGAGCAAAATTGAAAACTCCAGAGCATCTGGAAAGGGAACAAGTGACCTATACAAGTCAAAGTGGGAATTCTTTGAGGACATGCTGTTCCTTCAAGGTTCCCACACCCCCAGGAAAGGTTTCTCTACTTTAGATCGGCCAAGTACCTCGGGCGCCAGTCACCACCTACAGGGGAATATGCCTGGCCCTGTGTCCGCAGACAACGCCTCCGACGAGTCTGAGGAAGATGTCGTTCTTACGGAACCTGATCCCCCAGTGCCACAGCTGAAGAGAGGAAAGAAGCAAAAGAGGCAAGGGACAAGTGCCCATGAAGCTGTCCTCAAGAAAGCTCTGTCGTTCCTGAACCAGCCCGACAATAGCTTATTTGAAGACGAGGACTTCCTGTACTCTGCTTCCCTCACACGGGAGCTGAAGCAGCTACCGACCCTCGACAGGGATTTCCTTAAGATACAGCTTATGCAAATGGTCCTACAGGCAAAACATAATGTAGTAATGCACACTTCAGTTGCTGATGTGGTGGATCTTGTGCCATAGGAAATGAGGTTTGAAAAGATTGTTTTCAAAAATCAGTAAAAATATTGGTGTCCTTATGCAATTATTAACACAAGGCATCTTTAAGAAAACAAGTTTTAGTGTCAGGCTGACGGTTTGCCAGCTTCACCGTTGGATATTTTACATTCGCACTATTAATGTCCCCTGTTCGTTTCGAATGTTACTGTACTTTTATTTGTATTTTTGTACTCCATGCCAAATATAGTTGAAAGAGTGGTATCTGTCACATTGATCTTTTGTTTTTTCATGTAGGCAATTATCATGAGCCAATAAAGTCTTCTTATATGAGGTGAAACCTGTTCATCGAGTTTCACGTTTATTTTGTTAAGTACATGCATAACACCTGACAGAGTTTGTACTTGTGGCACCAATGTTTGCATAGCCCTGTTTTATTGATTTTACAAAAAAAAACTGCATTTCCGTAAAGCATTCTAGTAGGAATGAGTTTTACAAAGGCATTCATAAAGGACAACTATATTAAACACAACTAATATGAAAAAAGTATATAAAGATGCATTCACATAACAGTACTGAAATACATAGAAAAAAATATCCATCAACACAAGTATAAAAAAAAAAGGTCTTTAGGTGTCAAACAACCTGGATATAAAGTTCACTGTCAAAAACGAGTGGAAAATAAAAGCACCATCCATCCAACACAACTATTTAAAAATCTAGTTTAAAAGTCTGTCATGAGTACATCTTTACTAGGCAGCCGACTCCACTCTTCAGTAGTTCCAGGGGAAAAAGAACATTATTGTGACTCGGTAGGGCCCTCATAATGTGAGGCAGTCACCACTGTAGTCGGCGGCAAGTTTAGAGTTAAGCGGAAGCTCCTACCTCTTTCCACTTTGGCAGAGTGATCGCTGGAAAGGAGGCAACCCCCTCTCCAGCGTTCGCTCCGCTAACGTGGAAAGAGGTGTGTGGAGCTTTTTCTGAACTCTTCACCTGTCACTGACTATAGCAGCCTCGACACCTAGTGCTTGTCGAGGCATTGGTACTGCCACACAACCCTGCCTTCATTGGAGAAATACTCCTTAAATTCGTCCCGTTGGCTGGAGGAAGTTTCTGATGCCTTGGTGCCTGTGCGTCGAAGCCTGTCAAGGCTGTCCTCTGGTGCGTCAGCCTGTTGCTGTGCTGCAGCTCCAACAACCCTGTCAGATCCTGTCCGCACTCTTATGAAGTTACTCAGGAGGCAACACACCAAAGTGATGAGGCTGGCATTGGTCGGGCTCGTGTTGATGGTCGTCAGCACTCGAAAGCGCGATGCCATTATTCCAAAGAAACTTTCGACCACATGACGTGCAGTGCCTAGAAATGCAGATATAAAACATTTAGAATCATCTAACATTTAGAATCATTTATTCATGCTCTTGAAACCTTTTTCTTTGCTGGCCCCAAGAATTCAGTTTGCTATATTTTGCAACGCTTTCTTGTTTCGCATGATTTAGCATGAGATCTTTACATGCAAACTTACCTCACGTTATACACCCTCCTCTCTTTCTTGTTCTTGTCATCTTTGAGCAGCTGTGCCCTCCCGTAGGGGTGCATCACCCGGTCACTCAACTGGAAGGCTGCATCAGCCACGATAACGTGATTGACAGCTTTTGTGCGGCCTTGAACAAGAAAAATATGTTTCAGTAGCAGCACACCTCGGCAGCACAATGCAGTGGTATTAAAAAATGTGTTAATGTTGGTGCTACCATTCATACTATCAAACTTCTGTAACACGTCAATGTACAATTTCATAGTTGTAGATAGAAAGGTACAAACAGCACCACCAGAAAGTTGTGGTTTGCCCCCTTTTTCAGCCTTGCTCTTGGGTTTAAGTGGTTGCTGTATTTCATGAGCTAGCCTGTGTCTTTGCTCTTCTCTAATAATGTCAACACCCAAGGTGAGTGCTACTGTGTATACAAAATACATGTGTAACAGTAATGTCATAATATTGAACAATTGTGAAACATTTACAAAACAAATTACCAGGTAATGGCTGTGGAGGGGGGAAGTTGCAGGAGGGGTCAGCAAGTTTCTGGAACAGACTCGAGGACCTGAAGGCGGTGGCATCATTACACCTGCCATTTACTCCAGCGTGCACATAGATGGCCTAAGAGAAATAGGGCTTTATTAAACACCGGTCGCTCCGATGCTGTTGCAGTTGCTTATGTACACATGCACACATGACAGGGAACTAACCTTCAGATCTGCATCCACAAGTGCCATAAGGACAATACTATAATACATTTTGTAATTATAGTAATACGACCCAGACTCCTGCGGGCACGTGATCCGGATGTGCTTTCCGTCCAGTGCGCCAATGCAGTTTGGAAACTCCCACCTCTGCTCGAAGCCCGCTGCAATCTGGAGCCACTCTTCAGCAGAGGATGGAAACTTCATGCAGCTAAAGAAAAAAAACAAAAAAGAAGGCGGATATTTTTATATAAGCTATCAGAATAATGAGTGCACATTAGTGCTCGTGACAAATTTGTTTTTATGGTGTATTCAGGTTAATTATATTAAGCATTCTGTAAATGTTTTACTTCATTGTAGCCTATTTTGCAAATGAGAATCTAGGATGAAAATATAATAAACTAAAAGTAAAACTGCGTGAATATTTCGAAATTCAACTAATTTGTGAATAGTGTTTGCCGTCAGATTCGATTTGCAGCACACTTTAACTATTCAATGTACTATTGGAGTTTGTGGAATACTAGAAAATTACTGTGTTCAGAATTGTCAGGTTTCTCGCGTCAAAGCTGCACCGCACCGAATCGATGCTCTGGCGTCAGGGTTCCCTGCTTTTCATCAGAGCAAGCGCATCAAGCTTCACTGCTTTGCACTGGTGTGCTAGGAGAAACGGCTGATCAGTTAACTCGGTGGTCTCGCACATTTTGTTCACTATTGGTCAGCCTTCCTTGGTTATAATTACTATTAGACTCCTCCTAGATAAGTCTGTCATGCTTTGCTTGCCATGTTGTATTATGGTATAACCATGCAATCTTATCAGGGCCTTTTTTTTTCTTAATACAGGTAATAAAATGCTAGTTGTGTAATAAAACCCTCCCTTGTCCTCGCATGCTCTCCAGCAAATATTTCTAGTTGGATTTCTTAAACTAGCCATTCTGGGTTCAAGTAAGAAGTAAAGAAATTCCTATTAAAAAAATATTTTGATTCACAGTTAAATTTAAATATTCATATTTGGTTCACCCAGTAGAAACTTTCACAATTCTATACCTCCACTACATGTCTTATGGCTGGGCAGATCTTCAGCAAGACCAGTGATGTTTTATTATACATATTTAGTGAACATATAAATATATTTATTTGTTCTTGCATTAAACCAAAAGTAGACTGGGGACATTGCTGGAAAGCATCAGTGCTCCAGCGTACAGGTAGCGGCAAGGGCGAGCAGGGATTTTGGAGGTGGAGGACACTACATCAGTTAGTATGACAGATATGGACTGAGGCAACCCAGCCACCTTTTCAATGTAGGCTTTGGCCTCCGGATGGCACTTTGTAGCAGACATCATGCTACTGCAATTTGATTTGGCTTAAATCAAACATGTACATAGTCAGAGCTAATAGGAACAACTTCAAAAGGAACCTCAATCCTGGAAACCCTAGAGTAGCAGGCAACATATCAGTTCTCCAACATCTTAGTTTTCAACCAGACTGGGATATGCATATGTGAGGAAGAAATTAATACAATTGTTTTCCCCATACTGTCTTATTTAATACAATGTGCCAGTGTACGAGACAACTACTCACCTCGGTTGTAGGAAGAGGTAGAGAGCAGAGCACACATCGATAACCTTTTCCCGGACAGTGCTCACCCCCATCCGATATTGGTAGTGCAAAGAGGTAAACGACTCCCCTGAAAAAAAAAAAATGTTGCAATACTTAATTTATTTAGGTATTCTGCACCAAAGTTGGAGGGTAGCTGTGCAATCTTTGACCAACAAAAACATGCCGTTTTCTTTTTGCAAAAAAGGTGAGCTAAGGGATTAATAAGACGCAAGATACATGGACTAGAAAGGAGATTGCAGGGGATCTGTTTATAGCAATGCAGGATTTTCAGTATGTACTCAAAACTATAATGATTGCAGTAACAATTTTTGTTTACGGTGAGTATGAAGTGAGATACACATTCAAATTTTTGCTTTTCCCAGCCTCAAACTAAAACACAAATTTTTTGAAACCACCAAACATAAACAATTTTCAGAACAGCTTCAAAATGCGATATATCTACCTGTGGCCAGAAAGCAAAGGGTAACGTCCAGCTGCTCCTCGACAGTAATCGCTGGCCGCATCAGCGTGTCTTGTAGTGTGACATGCTCACGGATGCCATTTGCAAGCTCGTTAAACGTGTCCAAATCCATCCGCATATAGCGGCGATACTCCAAGTCGTCGCGGAGTAAATCGCGCACCAAGCAGCCGTGAGCACCAAATTCTGCTCGGCGACAGATAAATTCCCTCACCCACACTCGCGTCTTCCTTGAGTTTGCCTCATGAAGAAGAGCAATTACAAGTGCAGCTGCTGCCTTTTTTTTTCTTATTTCGAGCCATGATCGCAACTGTTGAAATTGGGACTGGCGAAAAGAAGCGAGTGAACGAAAGCAACGAGTCTTTTGCGCGCTTTACGCGGGAAACGTTCGAAGCAGACTATGTGAAGATGTCACTGCCGATTGAATGCCTAGATACTTTTTTCTGTTTTAAGCATATAAAAGCATTCCATACGATTAGAAAAATAGAAGTAGTTTTTATTTGATTAATTTCTCTACAAATGGGCTAAATAATACAAAATAATTGGGTTTTTAAAGACGTTGACGATTAAACTAATGAGATCGCTGGTAACGGGGTTGCGCACCCAGCAACAATGGGACGTGGAAAAACGTTTTCAGCTAGGTGGCGCAAGGTACCACCAAATACTGAAGGTCGCACTATTACCATTTATCCATGCTTACATGCAGCTCAAAAGTTGCTGCATGTGAACGCGGATGGTATGTGTTGCTCGTGTTGCAGCGGTAAGTTGCTGGGTGAAATTGCTCCGTCTGAAGCGGGCCTAAGATAAACAGTCTGGCTCAAGTTATACCGTCATCCGTTTCTTACTCTCTTTACGTGGACGACGTGCAAATATCTTTTTCGTCTTGCAACCTGT